TATAAGGGTCAGTGATAATCCAGTCGAATATGAAGTGCATCAAACATGTTTGCACTTCCGATAACTGATATCCATCATGACTACAGAGTGTCCTACTCCTCTATTGAAGACTTGGATTTTGGGTTTTCCACATTCGTAATGAGCTAAGTGCATGTACCTCATCAACCAGAATTTGGCTCCAGACAACAGATTTTCACCCTCGCGCTCTCTCTCTCGCGCGCGCGCACGCTTTGATTCATGCGCAGTTCAGAGTCGTCTTGGGAGACACTTTCTACTAGAACAGTTCTCACAGGTGAGAAGGCAACAGGATTCACACCTTTTACCATCAAGCTGTAGCCAAAACCCCGCAATCCTTTAGCTTAGACGCACAAACTTGAGCCACACCGATCGAAACAGGCAAGTCAGATCAAAAAGTATCGGAATATTCTGAAGTCAACGAGAGTTGGAAAAATTATTCTCTACAAATATTGATGTCGCAAAGCTTGGTGAAGAAATAGGACCACATGTTGACGGGAGAGTAGTTAACCGATGAGCCCATATCGTCAGACTATTGGGTACATCTCGTACAGCTTCATTGTTTCCGTACATGTGATACTTCTGTAGATAAAAATCTCAAGTGTAACATAAACGGTAAATTGCTTTGCATTTACAAGCTCTGACATGAGTCAAAATGTGATATCACAAAACGAGTAAATGCCCACCATTCCGTATGTCCACTTAAAATGAACTCCACTCTTGAAATGTGGATACATTCACAGATCGAGAATAATAAACACTGTTCACAAAATTATATCCCAATAACGCTGTGACAATTGGCATAATAATAACGGTCAAGGTTCAAGAATTACGGGTTTCGTCAATAGCTTGTTAGAAAAAACGGATGCCAAAGGAAGTCTTTTGTGGAGACACTGGAGATTCTTGATTATAAACCGCAATTGTTCCCTCTCCACCTCGGAGTTGTTTTAGATACCGAAAATGGGAACTCATGTTCAGAATCAATTCTGATTACAGCGGTATTATTCAGTGTCCTATCGGGTGGTTGGCCAGTCAAGTGAAGGTAAAGGAGAACGAGTTGTGTGTGTATGTGTGTGTAATGATCATCTCTTGTTGAGTTGAAAACAAGCACGGTTGCAAATCTTTCAACGATTGTCACCGTAGTTATTTCAGCCAATACTCAAAGCGAAAGCTCCCCGCGTCACCCTACCCTCCTACCCCCCTCGAGCACCCCGATTTGTTTTGCCAAGATAACTGTCTTTCTGCCTTGTAAACTAATATGCAATTATTCGTATTCAATCCCGAATTACAGATGTGGGCAGATGCTGGTGCACAGATCTTTTTCAGTTACTCCATCAGTCTTGGAACACTAACCGCTCTGGGAAGTTACAATCCGTTTCACCACAACTCATTTCGGTAAGCTTGAACAACAAAACCATTAACGCCAGCAGCAGCGACAATATACATACAATCATTTACATTCCGATACGTCCTGGCATATCATATTCTCAATTTCAGCAAACGATTAATTTAACATGTATCAACTTCCGTTTCCGGTGGGGGGGGGCGCAGGTTTTTCCCCATTCCTCTTCATTTATATGTTTTTACTTCTGTCTGTTGAATAAAAACGGACAAGCTAATGGTCCGGAGAAAATGTGTTCGATCAGAGGGCAGTCAGGTAATACAGACAAAAACGGAAGCGATGGCGGTGGGCAGTTACGAACCAAGACACAACATAACACGATGTCAAAGTCATCCGTGATTGGGATAAACAAATAATTCGGGGTTCTTGTGGATGGAGGGAACTCGTTCAAATTGTCAGAGATGTCAGTAAATGAAAAATGTCTGTTACCAGATTGAAAACAAAGTTCGGTAGGTGAAACAAGCTGTTTTACCCGAAATTCATTAACAGGCCATTAGAGTTATATATGTTCGTTGATCTGATTTTGATCGCATCAAACTAATTACACAACATATGCTAAAATTGTGAACCTGATGCTCTCCGCTAGCTACATCGGCCGCCCTACAAGGCACCTATCGAAAGAGGATACGCAGTTACCATCCCCACTGGTTGAGACACGATGAAACTAGGATGGCGAAAAGTGCTATCAGTCAACATATACTGCAGACACGTTATGCTATCAATGTCTATTAAGCTTTCCGCATCATTTGCCACACACCATCATCTCTGCGATAGCTATCCAAACATTGGATCCCCCCGCCCTCGTGTGCAACCAAAAGCAGTTCATTCGGGCTCTAGCTTTGCCAGTGGCCTCGGATGAAGGAACTCACCCCAACCCCGGGGGACGTACCAATCGAGGGAAGCATCAGATAAACAATTTTAGCATACATTCTGTGCTTAGTTAGATGCAATCAAAACGAACCAGATCGACGAAAATATATAACCGTATATAATCTAAATGTCCCGTTGATGACTTTATGAAAAAACAACTTATTTCGCCTACCGGACTTTGTAATCATTGTCAGAGATGTGTATACATTCAAGTAAAATAGAACGTCTCAAGCCCAGTGCGGTTTCCTGTTTCCAGTTTCCTATGCGTTTGAAAAATTTGACGAGAGTGGGGGGGGGGGGGACGGTCACACCTAAAAAGGAAACAAAACACTTGTTCCGTTTTTATCGATTGATTGGTCTCCAATTCTAACCGGTACTAATTAAATCTTGTCATATCATTGTACTCGCTATCTTTTTATAAAAAAATGAAACAATCATGAGGGAAGTATTACTACTGAACCGAAGCACAGGAAACATTCCCGAGAAAGAACATCAATCTAGTTGATCACCGGGTATCTAACTGATCAGATGGTTACAACCGCTCCGGTTTGATATAACACGATCAACTTGTGCATACTATTGCCCCCCGGTCAAACCTCGTTCTGCCGAGCACAAAATTTTGGTGGTTACGACTCGATTGGAAACATTTCAACCTGATTACCGGTTTCACGGAGTGAGTAGTAGCCGAGAAAAATGGGTTGTGTTATGTCATGTATGGGGCAAAATCAAAAGCGGTCTCATCGGCTACCCGGTGACAGGTATGTTTGAGTTCTACCCACGAGGTCCCGGGTGGTGGTGGGGTCGACTGTTAACATATACTAGATCATTTCAATACTGCCCATTAAAATTTGTAATTCACAATTGAAAATGAGGCATATTTATGTGTTTGCTTAACTTGTTCTGATGACGGGTCCATCAGGTGGTCAGCACACAAGATAGCGACGTGGAATGGGCAGTACATTCATTTCCGTCGCTTTGTATCCCTAGATATGAAAAAGAATCTCGTACTCTATTTAGTCAATAGAGTTAAAATAAATCTACGTGGAGGATATGTTGGTTGAAGAGCTCCAAAATGTACGGAATATCCTCATCCGGAGCGCTTCGTGGAATCTGTGATACAACGACAAGAGGAATCTACTAAGACGGCAATTTCTGAGCACAAGTCTGTGTGAATTTATTTATCATTTAAAGGTGACTCTTTGGCAGAGATTGTGCATAGAAGGCTATCAGATGACATCAACAAAACGTTCTACGCGGCTAGGTCTTCAAAAACGATTCACATCTAGCCCGCTTGAAGGATCGAGTACCCGATTCTGCTGCCTCTTTCTGTATTTACTCTTTCACTTGGTCCTGTGGAGCAAATTATGTTGGCCGCACGACCAGACATCTGTCAGAGCGCATCCACGGACATCACCCTGCGTGGTTTGGAAGTGAAGTAAATAAGTCAATCACAAGCGCTGCCGTCGTGTCGCACCTTGTCGACACTAATCACATCGTAAACTTGACCGAAGCTTTCCGATCCTTGTATAGAGTTAAAACGGGACGGGTCTAAGTTTTTTGGATCATTCGATCATACAAGCTTGTCGTCTGTATCACTTTATGAAGCCACACCGGGATGTTTTCGGCCATTCGGTGACGTAACTGCCTTTCTGTCCTCACGTCGGTGAAAGAACAATTGACCCCTTCCGCCCAGTCAAATTGTGTTTACCAATTCAAGTGTGGAATCTCGGTCATCCACATAGGCAGAACTGAGAGGCAGTTACGTTACCAGATGGGCGAACACACATCGGTATGGTTTAAGAAACCGATTCAAATTGAAATTTTTATTACGGGAAAAAAACTTACAAAGACTTCGCTTTCACAAATCACATAGGGTGTTTACATTTTGGATCGGAATACGATTCACAAGGTCACAGTCCATGTAAGTAAAATAGTAGTGTAATGTTTTTTTACGAGCACAGGAGAATATATCATGTAGTTGGGTGTTGAAGTATAAGATTTGCTAAAGCATCATCAAGCTGACGCTTGAAAGATACTAATGTTGGCGCACAAACCATGTGAGGTGGTAGAGAGTTCCATTTGCTGCACAGTCTGACTGCAAACAAATGGCGTCTGCGGTCGAGATGGCTCTTTTGGAGTGTCAACTTCAGTGGATGCCCTCTGAGATGAACATTGATTGATGGAACCAAAAGAGATCTACATGGATGGGCTGATGGAAAATCCGATACAGTGAGATCATATCGCCTCTGATATGATGATATTGCGACAAGTATAGCCCTCAAGAGCTGTAATCTTTCACCATAGGTCTTGGAATGTAGAATTTTGACCATCTTGGTTGCCATTCTCTGCGGATGTTCGAGTGCCTGCCGATTTTGCTGCAGCCATGGGTTCCAGGCCTGAACTGAGTACTCGGTGTATGGACGGATAAATGTGGCTAGCAGACGTGGAAACAAAGCCGGCTCAAACGATCCAAAAACACGTTTGAGCAGTCCAACC